CGCCTTTGGCATGGCCATGGAGCGAGTGATGCTCTGCTAAGACAAATCTTCCTCAAGTCTCAGTCTGAGGAGCAGAGGGCCTCTTAAAACAGAGAAAAAGGGACCGAATCAATCCATGTGTTCCCCTTCTTCTATGTTGTCCATCTCCTCATGGCTTTGCTATAGTTCAGCATTGTGATTAAAACAAGGTTTGGTCCTGCCTAGTAAAGCAAGATTCATGTCATGTTACAACATAGCGGGGGCACTAGCAGATTGCAGAGATAAGGACACTTCTTTGATCTTCTTTCTCTAGCTTTTTGCCCCCTTCTCATTCTCTTTGGCTCTTCTGTCTTTATCTCTTGCTCTGTTCTCTCTTTCCCCTCCTGCTGTTTCATTCTCTCTGGTTTTCTATTTATTATTCTTTCTCATTCAGGTTCTTGCATGTCTGTGCCACCACACATTTTCCCTTGTTCTATATTTCTCTCCTTTTCTTTTCCCCTTTTCTCCCTTTGCCAAACGCAGAGCAGAAGAAATACTCAGCAACTCCGATCCAGCAGCATGCACCTGGAACCCTATCGGGGCCTGGTAATGGTAAGGCTTGTCCTTCCACACAGTTTCAAAATACAGATGAGACCAAACTCCATTGTATGGACCTACAGTATGATTTGGAGGCATGGTCAGAACACCATTTTGCCCTGTTGGCAATGCAAGGCAGACACTGGCCAGTTTCACCCCTATGCTCTGGCTGCTTTGCACTGCTCTGGAGATTGTAAACCATTCAAATTGAGCGTACGGTTACTGAATACCGGAACAGTGCAAAAGTTCCTGGCGAATCTGGCCCATTGTTTAAATCCCAGTGAAGACAAGTACACTGTAACTGGTTATGTTCCCTCTGATCTTTTCCTTCCATCCATTTGTTCCATCCATGTGTGGAATAAATTTTATGTGCACTGAGGCATGTGCGAATGTGCACCACCAGTAGAACCACAAACCCTAGCTGCGGGTGCTCTGCTAAACAGCTGGGCAGCATGTGAATTTTTCATGAGCTGCTGCACCACAAGCCCACAGCTTCCAGGGAACACTGGTAACTGGTGTTCTCCCACCAGGCTTGTATGTGTAGTGCAACAGGAGAGCTGGTCATTGCTGTGCTTTTCATACATTGTTTTATGAAAAAGAACAGCATCCCATTCTCCTGAACTCTCTTACTGCAGAGACACTTTTTCACAGCAGGGACGGGGCAGCAGCGATGCTGTGGCGTCTGCTGTTTAAAGAGCAGGTACAGTTTATAGACAGAAATCAGTCTGTTTTTCCTGTTAGCTGGGAACAGGTTAGGTTTGTGATGTTCAAGGACAGCTCTGATTCTCCCCCCACATCGCCCTCTCTTAACGCACACAAAAGAAACCCACTTCTGATTCTCCCCCGCCCCCGTCGCCCTCTCTTAACGCACACAAAAGAAACCCACCTAAACCATCATCATCTTTTCTTACTACTGTCAGAGCTTGTGGTTGGCTGGAGGTTGGAGTTGTGTGTGACTAAGCCCCTCCCGTGCCTCCCACTTCTTTTGAGATATAAAGCACAGCTCGCAGGGCAGCCGGCCAGCCTTCAGCAGCTGCTTGTTGCTTTCACTCGCAGTGACAAGGATTAACCCTGTTGTCCGCTCTCCACCCTCCTGCCAGCCCCGTTCTCAGCATGTGCCGAGGTTTAGCTGCGCTTTCCGCTACCTGCTTGGAAAGGTAAGTAGCTCTGGAATACAGGGATGCTGGGAAATAAAAGGACTAGCTGATAAAGAAATGTTAGATTCAGTACCGGACTTTGTGGCCCCTGTTGCATGGGCAATGATGCTGTGTTTGTAAAACTGGGATGAACGCTGGGTTTAAATCCCAGCTCAGAATGATTGAGGCACGCCGGTGCCGGGGGGAGAGGAACGGAGGGGGTAAACAACAGGAAGTTGTGCTGATATTATGATGTTTTCAGTGCATGAGATTTGCCCTTCAGTTGCAGAACTTGCTTTGCCCTGACAACAGCAGGAGTATTTCTGCAAACATATTTACAGTGAAATTCACCTGACTGCGAATGCGGAGTCCTGTGTTACTTGTCTGGCACTGCTTTGCGTATTTGTATAACAGATCTCAGAAAGACACCCCCCATTTGATCGGTAGGCTTGCCTAGGGGTGCTGCTCTGGGGAGAAGATGGTCTAGCAGGCAGCTGCCTCTGTCTGTCGCAGAGGTGTCTCAATCCTGTCGCAGACATGCTGAAGCAGGGAGCGGCCTCTGTGCAGCCGCAGAGAAGCCCTGCAAGTAGCTGCAGCAGTCCTGGCGCTGCGACAGAGACACAGTGGCACGGGGCTGTCTGCCCAGGGTGGCAGACACAACAGGGCCAGGACCCGTCTCCACACTGCAGCTGAGCAGAGAGCAGTTTTCACTATTTCCCTCGAGACTCCAGAGCAGAAGGGAAAATTACTGATAAGAGGGTCAGGAGATTGACTAATGGACACCAGGGAGAGGAGGAAGCCAGAGGAATAATGAAAGGCCCGGACTGGGCAGGCAGCTGCCTCTCTACACTCACCAGGCAAACACCTCCACACACGCCCTACCTGTGAATACAGGAAGAGCGCATAAAAGGACATGGTCTCCCACGGAGCTACTGAGAGTTTTCTTGTGGCGTCTGGTGGCAGGAGGTGGGACTGGAGGAGAAAGGTTTTAATTCATAAATAGGAATGCATAATTAATACTATCGATAACAAGCGGTCAAGCCATGCTCAGGAGGAAGGGGCTGAAACTAAAGTGAATGGAGCCGGGCCTGTTTGATTTGGCCCTGTGTCTCCAGATTGGGTTTAGGGAGAGAGCTAGATATTTGGATCATGAGGCATTTTCTGTAAGGAGATGGAGCTAACCAGCCTGGCCTACCAACCGGCCTTCCCTGATAAGCACACACCTCTGCCCTCTAGTGGCCATTCCTTGCCTTTGGGGTCCATTCTAAACCCAGTGGCTCCTCTTCTGTCTTTCAGAGCCAAACAACTCAAAACTCGTTTAGGGATCCTGCTTCATAAGCCAGAGTTGGGACAGGAAGCCGAGAGTGTCAGCAAACCCGAGCAGGACATCAAATCCAGGTAAGCCAAGCCTGCCAGCCCCAATTTAGCCCAGACCCCCCCCCCCC